ATCCATGCTGTCATACCTTATCCATGCTGTCATACCTTATCCATGCTGTCATACCTTATCCATGCTGCCGTACCTTATCCATGCTGCCATACCTTATCCATGCTGCCGTACCTTATCCATGCTGCCATACCTTATCCATGTTGCCGTACCTTATCCATGCTGCCATACCTTATCCATGCTGCCGTACCTTATCCATGCTGCCAAGGTTGAGTCCTTCGAAGTTCTTGAGAGTGAGGTGAGGCGGCAGCACGAACCTGCGACACCACCACCACCACCACCACGCCATGCAACGCATTGTAGCGTGTCAGGGGACTCATAGCCAGGCGCAACCAGCGTCACCACTTGCTTTCAAGCGCCCACTCCCTGATACTCTCGCTTTCTTCATACCTGCCTACTTTTCTCCGCTGCTGACCTGTGTGCCATCACCTCCGGCTCTCCTCATGACATCACACTGACAACGTTGACATTTTCTTCTCTTCTCTGACTCCGTGCCACACCCTCATCTCTTATCATCCCCCTAGCATCTCACTATCATCATCCCCCATAGCATCTCTCTCCTCATCCCGAGCTCCCCTCCCGCCCCACCCCCCCCCCCCCGTCCCTGTTCGCCCTCTCATGCCCCTGCGAGCCCCCCTCCCCTGTGTGCTGTGCCCCGAGCTGACCTATTTTTTATGTCGGCCTCGCGGCGGCCGAGGCGGGGCGTGTCGACGGTGAGCGCAATGGCTTTGAACCCCGCGCGCTCGGCGCGCCGCACCAGCTGCTCCACCACCTGCCGGTCCTTGTACACCTGGGGGGGGAAGCGGAGGAGGGGGAGGGGCAAGGTGGCGTGCGGTTGGGAGGGAAAGGGGGGGGGGGGCGGGGGGTGTGCAGGACGGAGACGGTTGCTTGCAGCTGGGGGCATAAACGGTTGTCACAACAAAGTTTGGGCAGGAAACGGCACAAGAGACAACGCAAGCATGGGTGCGGGCAGCAGTTGGCGCGGGTAAGAGCGGGCGGTGGAGCCCCGCGGCACTCACGTAGAGCTGGAAGAAGCGGCACTCACGTAGAGCTGGAAGAAGCGGCACTCACGTAGAGCTGGAAGAAGCGCAGCCCGGGGCCCACCGACGCCACCTCCTCCACGCTGCTCGTCGCCCACGACGACAGCACCTGGGGGGGGGGGAGGGGGACGAGGAGAGGAGGGAGCGGGGAAAAGAGTGGATAGAGGAGACGGAGGCAAGCAGGGGGGGAGGTAGGGCGCCAAGGGAGGTTGAAGAAAAGCGAGAGGAGTAAGGAGAGAGAAAAGGGCGCGAGAGAAGGGGGCGGGAGCGGGGGAGCGGGGTCGGTGGGGGGGTGGAGGAATGGGAGTGCGCAAATTCCTGGCAGCGGCAAGCATTCTACTGGTCTCCATGGCAGCTGACGTCACATCGGGCGACATTCAACAGCGAGGAGCGGCGGAGAAGAGCAGCTCGCTGCAACGCCGTGCGCGACACGCGAATGCCGCCACCAAGGCGGACCGTGAAATTCTGAAACTCTGCTGCTCGAGTCAGCCGTAGCACATGTGCGACGGCCCCACGGCTCTACCTCGAGGCGTCGGCCTACCATGGCTGTGTCGAACTTCGCCGCCGCCCGCGCTGTCGCCAGCTCGCCTGCGGGGAGAACGGCAGGTTAAGAGTAGCAGAAACGATAGGCATTGTCTGATGTCACGGGTTGCTGCACGGCTGTACACTGCGACAACTCAGCACACAGCAATCATGTGGACCAATGGCGTGGCGCACTGGTGTGAGTGTATTGGTGCAGTGCACTGGAGGAGCGCACTGGTGGAGCGGGGGCGTGCGCGCACCTTCGGCGTGCGCCATGCGCTGGAAGGCGGTGGGGGCGAGCATGATGGGCATGGAAATGCGGTGGCCCAGCACGCTCGTCGTCGTGTCCACGCTCGACACGTCGATCAGAATGCGCGGCCGGAACCTGCCACGCGCACACAACCACGGACGCCCGCACAGCCCGTCGCCGTCAAAGTCAACGTCAGAAATAGTGTCAGTAACGGAATTCGCTCCTGCTTTGGCGGTCCTGCACTTGACAATTTCCGCTGGGACGAGCGCGACAGTCGAGGGAGAAAGATGGAAGCAGGAATCAAGGAGCCGCGACGCACGGCCCAAGGGCGGCACCTGATGCGCTCAAAGGCGTTGCGGTTCTCGGCGAGCGTCCATTGGTCCTCGGCGCCCGACGCGTAGTAGTCGTACGCCTGCTTCGGCAGCTTCTCCCGGGCGAGCGACTGGAACTCCGAGATGTTGGTCACGCTGCTCGACGCGCTGCTGCTCGACGCCGCCATACCCGCTCCTGCCGCTGCGCTCGCACCGCCGACACCTGAGGTTGTTTCGCTTCTAGCACGTTGCAACTAGTGTGCAGTCGGTGGTGATGGCAGCAGAGTGGCAGGCGGAGCAGCCGGTCAGCACAACTGGCAGGAAAGAAGGGCAGCCTTGAGAGGGAATAGGTGGGTGAATGGGATGGGCGAGCAGAAAAATGCGAAGTGAGGGGAGCACGGGGGGAGACAGCGGGGATAAGGTGAGGGCTACTGGCTGGCGCTCTCCCACGTGGCGCCGGTTCGCCCAGACCACTTTCAAGGCCACATGGATCTCGCGGGGAGGCGGGGATGCGCTGCTGCGGAGGTATGGCGCGGATGCATGCACCTCGGGAGAACCGCGAACCGCACGCGCGACAATGTGATCGAGAAAATTGAGAGGCTATCGTTCAGGTTGGTTTCACAAGGGTAACTACGTTACAAAACAATAACAAATATTGTAAGGAAATTCCCTTTTCCTTACTGGGCTTGACTACAGAACGTGCGCCCTCTATCAGAAACTCAAGTGATAGTGATAGAGGGAGAGTACACACAATATAGCTAAGTGTTGTACCCTCTAAGAGGCTACCCTATACAGTCTATACAAACATAACAAATAGACATGTTTGACACACCCCCTAGACTGCATAGGGGAAAGTCCTAAACAAACAGCTCAGGGCGGCACTACTAGTCCAACCTCTGAGACAAGGGTCTGAGCGACCAGTCAGAAGGAGTACAGACAAGGCAAGCAAAGAGCAGGGCGGCACTACTAGTCCAGCCACAAGGAGAGGACACAAGTCCAGTCTGAGTATACACATAAGGGACAGTACAAAGTCAAGGTCCTAGCAAGTGAGAGGCTACAGGAACTAGACCAAGCTGGACACAGTGCCGCTGATGATCTTTAGGCGCAAGCGCCTTCGTAAAGATATCAGCCGTGTTGGCACCTGAGGCCAAGTGTACTACGCGAGCCTGACGTCGCTGCTGTAGCTCACGCAGGAGGAAGTACCGCAGCTGAATGTGCTTCGCTCTGCCCTCGAGTCGAGGCTCCTGACACAGGAGGATCATGGCCCTGTTGTCAGCGAACACGACCGGGGCAGAGCTAGGCCGCTCACCTAAGTCAGTGAGCAAGAAGGTCAGCCAGCGGAGCTCCTGTGCCGCCATGGCACCGGCGTAGATCTCAGCCTCACAGCTGGACTGTGCAACAGACGAGGAGCGAGTAGCTCTCCACGAAACGGCACCTGAGCCAAGGCTGAAGCAGTAGCCCTGGGTAGACCGGAGTGTCTCAACGTCGTCTGCCCACGAAGCGTCTGTGTGCCCAGTAAGGACCACTGGCCTGCGTCCTCCTAGCACTAACCCCATGCCCGATGTACTAGCAAGATAACGCAGAACCCTCTTAGCGGCAGACCAGTGCTGCGCTCGGTGTCTGCCTGTGGCCACAAAGCGAACCAGGATGCTGAGAGGGTATGCGAGATCTGGGCGAGTGCAAGTCATCAGGTACATGAGGCAACCCACCAGCTCTGCGTAGGGGCCGCTGGGCTCTACCAACTCCTCAGGCACTGGAGCGGAGAGCCTGTGGTCTACAGGCAGAGGGGTGGGCTGTGCAGAGGAGAACTGAAGGCTGAACCTCTGAAGGACCTGGCGCACCAAGTGTGACTGAGTCAGGGTAATGGTGCGCGCAGCTCTGTCCCTGGAGATCTGCAAGCCAAGGTAACGGCGCAGTTCTCCAAGGTCAGTGCAGGTGTGTCTCTTCAGTAGCTCTGCCTTCACGGAGGCCAGCGCGTCCCTGTCTGCTGTGGCAAAGACCAGGTCGTCGACGTAAACGAGGATGTAGAACGGAGTCTGGCCAGCACGAACGAAGAGTGAAGGGTCTGCAGAAGACGGAAAGAACTGCAGGTCAGCAAGCGTAGCACGAAGAGTGTCGTGCCACTCACGGGGAGCCTGGCGCAGGCCGTAGACGGGGCGCCGCAGGAGCCACTGGGTCCCAGGAGGGAAGGTGCCAGTAAAGCCCGGAGGGCGGCGCAGGTAGACCTGCTCGTGTAGGCTGCCCTGAAGGAAGGCAGTGGAGAAGTCGAGGGAGTGAAGCTCGTAGTCACGCTGAGCAGCTAGGTGTAACAGAACCCGAAGAGTAGTCATCTTCGGGGTCGGAGCGAAAGTCTGGAAGAAGTCCACCCCCTCGCGCTGACTGAAGCCTCTAGCCACATAGCGCGCCTTGAAGACAGGCGGCTCTCCAGGAGGGCGCTTCACCTTGAAGAGCCAGCGGCCATCGACTACGTTCACCCCAGGTGGGGGAACTGCGTCGACGAAGGTGCCGGTGGATCTCCAAGATGCCATCTCCTGCTCCATGGCAGCTATCCACTGCGAGGCCCAGGGTCCCGAAGTCGCCTCAGCGTAAGTGCGAGGGGTCGGGATGTCGAAAGCGTCTGGGTCACCCTCAGGGACTAGCAGCATGGAACAGAGATGGGGAGCAGCCTCGAACAGGAAAGCAAGCTCGAACTGGCGGTCCTCCAGGACGTCACTGCCAAGGGCAGAAGCACCCCCGACAGACTGAGGACAGGCAGGGTCAGAGACCAGAGCGGTGGCGTAGTCAAGGCGGCGGGTAGAGGCGAATTCAGCGACAGCAGCGACAAGAGCGTCAAGGCACGAGACCGGAACAGACAGGTCGGTAACGAGAGAGGCAAGGACCCGAGGAACGAGAGGACGAGCGGCACGAAGGTAGTCGGACAGCGGGGGGGGCGCGACAACAAGGGAGGACGGAGGAGGCGACGGCAGAAGGGGAGGACGAGACGCGTGGGAACGAAGCAACATAGGGTGGGAGCGCAAGACAGGCGAGGCAGGACGAGCACGGGAGGGACGGTGAGACCAGACGTGGGACGGAGGAGTCGGGTCAGGAGACAGGGGAGGGGACACAGGAGGGGAACGAGGGGGAAGACGGGCCGGGGACGAGTCCGGCGGAGGGAAAACTGGGCCGTAGACAGGAAGAGGAGGAGACGGTCGGGGAGGAACCGACGCAGGGTCGGGGGACGGAAGGCCGAGCAGGCGAAGGGCGGACACCGGTGGGGATTGCTGCTGCGGCGGCACAACGGCGACACCTGGACCGCAAGCTGCTCCTCGGCGACCACCGGCACTCTCCACACCCGCACCCGCAGAGGGACCACCCTCAGGGCGACCGGGACGAGCACCCCCAGAGTCAGCGAACGGGGGCTGCGACGGCGGCGGCGACGGCGACGGCTGCAGCGGCGGCAGGGGCGGCGGAAGAGGGGACTGGGGAGGGGCGGCCGGCGAGGACTGCACCGGAGGGCCGCCAGAGTCAGAAGACTCCTCAACCGGGTCCACGGACGGAAGGGGGGTGACGTGGGAGACACCAGAGGGGGCGGGACGGGGAGGAGGAGGAGGAGGGACTACGGGGAAGGGGTGACCAGGAACAGGGGGGGGGTAACCGGGGGACCACGGTGGGGGAAGCGGCGGTAGTAGGAGACGGACTCGTCAAAGGTGACGTCACGAGAGTGAAAGAAGCGGTGAGACGGCGGGTGGTAAAAGTGCCAGTCGGACGCGTCAAGGGGAAAACCGAGGAAGACGCAGGGAAGGGTGCGGGCAGTGAGCTTGTCCGTGCCGGAGGCACGAACGTGAGCAAGGCAGCCCCAGACGTGGAACGCAGACGCGTCACCAGGAGACCCAGTCCACAGACGGGTCGGCGAAACCTGTGGCTGCTGAGGGTGCGGCCACAGGTTTAGCTGGTGAGAAGCGTAGCGCACTGCGAACGGCCACAGAAAATGGGGTGCACCGGCATGGACCATGGAGGTGCGAGCGACCTCCATGACCAAACCGATGCGTCGCTCGGCGACCCCATTCTGTTGTGGGGAGTCCGGTAGGGTGAACGTCTGGGTGATGCCCTCCGCACGACAAAAGCGACCAAGGACACCTGAGGCAAACTCGCCACCACGGTCAGAGTGAAGACGCAAGACAGGGAGACCGCGGTGGACACGCGCAGAGACAAGCCAGGGGATGAGGGCGTTAGGCACGTCGGCCTTGCGCTCCAAGGGGAAGACTGTGGTGTAACGAGTGAAGTCGTCGACAAGCACAAGGAAGTAGCGCTCGCGACGCGGCCCAGGGACGGGGGCGGGGCCCCAGACGTCCAGGTGCAGGGTCTGCAGCGGCGCGGCGGTAGGGGGGAACGAGGAGGAGTGAGGGGCACGGCGAAGCCGACCCTCGACACAAGGCGTGCAAGGTGGAGCTGGGGAGGAGGGAAACGCGGGGAGGGAACCTGGGAGACCAAGGACAAGACCGTGCTGGGACATGTGACGAAGACGCAGGAGCGCAGGGTGACCTAGGCGGTGGTGCCACAGGAGGGTCGGGTGAGTGAGGGAGCGACAGGAGCAGGCAGCAGCAACCTGGGTAGACACAGCCACCTGCGGGGGCGCTCCAGCCGGGGGGGGCACGATGTCCAGAGTGAACAGGCCGGACACCGGGTCCCGGGGGAACGTGGACAGGGGGGCACCAGTGGCGGCCTCGGTACAGACAGCATACCGCTCGTGACCAGGGAACGTAGTGGTGACGCCAAGGTCCTGGAGGCAGCCGACACCAACTAGGTTCCTGGAGAACGAGGGGATATGCAGACCTGTAAGAGAGCCCGAAGGAACCGCCGGACATGGAAGGGTGGTGGAACTGCGGGCGACTACCGGACCGCCGGAGGGGTCAGCAAGAGAAACGGCAGCAGGAACAGGAAGCGGCGTCAGGGTGGTGGAGTCGCGGAAGAAACACCGAGAGGCGCCAGAGTCCAAGGTGAAGGAGAGCGAAGCCGAGTGGTCTGGCGACGGAACGACGGCGGAAGCACCAAGACTACACAAAGCAGGGGATCCTACGCCTGACGCAGCAGGGGAGGCTAAGCTAGGCACACCTACACTAGGCAACAGTGAGTAATAAGCAGGAAGCACACTAGAGTCATCAGCATACATCACATGCAGAGCAGAAACAATGGCATCCATGTCCATATCAAAAATCTGAATCTGACGACTAAGCAAACTGTGCCAGTCCGGGAGGTCTGGCGACGGGCCGAAGCGCTGACGAAAGAGGTCGTCCAGGCGACGAAAACAGCGAGGAGTGGAGTGACCGATCTTACCGCAAACGAAGCCGCGGCGAGGACCGGTCTGGATCTGGTACTGACAACGCCCGCCGCCAGAGCCACC